AAAAAAAAAAAAAAGAGATATGTATGATATTAAGACAAAGGATATGATCAAGATCTTACTTGGAGATCTTGTTTGCATAAGAGACCTGTACGATATTATTAAGACAAAGAATATTAAGATATGATCAAGATCTTACCTGGAAATCTTATTTACAGAAGCAGGAAATAAATGATGATATGAGAAAACAATGTATTGTAGGAGGAATATGGAAAATATGGGGCACAGCACATATATAGTGTAGGCAAATGCAGAACTAGTCAACCTACGTGGTAACACGGGAGTATCAATAGTATTGGTAGCCATACAAGATTTAAAATTTCTTTAATTTAATTTTATTTTCGGTAAATTGTCTCCTATTTAATTTGAAAAAAAAAATCACTTGATTTTATAAAAATAAATTCAAAATTAAGTGAGAGATTCACACCATAATCTAATTTGTAAAAGTTTATGCTAATTGGGATTACCATGTATTTAAATTTGGTAACCAAACATGCACAATAGACTCTTTATCCCACATTTTTTTCACAAATTCTGAGTATGATGTGGTCGTTAGTAGTGGCTCGTAAGGAACCGGTTGTGATCCGGTTATCATTGTCAATATGAAGGGGACCGGCTAAGCATTGGTAGTCGGGCGGTTGGGAGTGCTCGGCGTCGCACGGTGTTCGGCGCCCCTCAAGTGCTCGGCATTGGAGGTGGTCGGGATGAAGTGTCTGGCATGACATCGTCCGGTATGATGAGTGCCCGGCGTAGGATGAATGTTCGGCGTGGGTGCGTGCCCGGCGTGGGCGAGTGCTTGGCGTAAGGCCTTCAGTGGGTGCTCGGCCTTGGAAGGTGCCCGGCGGCCCTCGTGTGTTCGGCGGCCCTCGTATGCCGTCGAAGGGGCTAGAACCTGAAGATGGCTTCAGGATCAAGTTACGAAAGAGTTGGTAGCGACAAGGACTCGTGCAATTCAGGATGTTCTTGACCTAATTAAGTAGTTCACACAAGAAAGACTTCTTATCCCACTG